CACAATGGCTAGGTTCATACAAGGCACTAAGTCAAGCAATTACATTATGATTTAGTCTGATGTGTAAAAATAGTCCAAATTTGCCACAGAATGTGTGATGCCAGGAGAGAAGGGGGGGGGGGGGAGTTGAAAATTTTATCTGCACTTTGCATTTGAAGCAATTCAGACTGGCAATCAGAAATTCAACTTTTCTGGCAGAATACCACTTGAATTTGTTTCTGCGTAGGCAACTGAGAAATGGCAATGTACATAGAAATAGGTGCACGAACCCTTTTCAGCACTATCGGATTGCTAGTAATGCAAAACATTCAAATCATAATGTACTGACTTATTCAATGTACATCCTATCTTTTTTCTGGGAGCTCAAGATAGCCTACATAGCAGTTTCATTTAATTTTGTCCAACAGCAATCCAGTGGGGTGAGTTAGGTTGAGAGGAAGTGACTGGTCCAAAATCACCAGTTAGCTCTGTGCTCAAACAGGGACCTAAACCAGAATCTCCCAGTTCAAATCTATAATTTTAAACTATTATTCCATACTAGCCCGATTTAATTAAAATGAAATATCAATAGAAATCTTTCTTAGACTAAAACACCTTGTCTCAATTAGATCCAATTACACTTCAAATTCTGAAGAACATACTTCTTAGGTCTCCTCACTTCACTCAAGTTTATGTTCAAATCAAGCCACCCAGAAGGAAATAACAGTATAACAGTGTGTAAAAAGTCCAAGAAAGAAAGACAGCAAAGTTAATTTTATATATTCTATGCAGAAGCAGCTCTCTTGGAGATCATTAGCTAGTACTTCTCTGCTGCAGCTGCTAGTGGAAGCAAGAGATACCTGACTTGCATAGCAACAGAGGCTTAGTTGTGTGCTCAGATGTTCAAGGTAAATTGACAGAGGAAAGAATTCCAAGTAACATCACTGTTCTCTTTAGCCACAAAAGCTGCTTACCTCCCCAGGCACTGCTTGCTGACGTTGCTATGGCTGGAGTACTTTGTACCGTAGGAACAAATGCAGGTTGAAGATCAAAGAGATCGGTAGAAAGGTTGGGCATGCTGGAAGTTTCAAGAAGAATACCAGTTACACAAAAAATCAAACTTATTATCTGTGCTTCTGAGGGAGCTGAAAGCTGAAACTTCAATCCTCCAGAACAGTGGAAACTGAATAAGAAACCTAACAAGCATCTTAAGCTCCACAACAGAATATTTGTTTACTGAATAGTTCAAGAGACTTTATTTACTGCAATAAAATATTTAAATCTTAGGAAGAATCAATTCCATTTCAACCCCATTCATTTTGAGTATCAAGAATAACTGAGTCTTTCTTGCCCATCAGATCCTTGGGGAAACTCCCCAAGCACCTTCTGAAAATCTTCAAGATCCTTTAGGCACTTCGGATAGATAGATTTAATAGGTATTTTCTCACTGTAGAAAGGGGTTTACTCATAAAATCTCCACAGTAATCTGTCCATGACCAGGAGTGAAGATCAGTCCTCCCCACCCCACACACATTTTCAGGTCATGTTGTATCCTGTCCAAGACACCCAAAAGAGAAAGAAGGAGAAATATAATATGCAACTGTAAGATGAATCAGGTCCATGACTGTCATGGCGTCATCTTGCATAGCTTCAGACCTCCTTGCAGAAAGAAGGCAGATTGGAATCTCCGACACAAGCACTATGGAAGCCTCAATTCCACCCCTGAGAGGGGATGAAAAGGAGTGTTGCTGAGCAACAGAGGGAGTAGAGTGATCCTTCATGTCCAGCCACATGAACAAGGTCTCACATCTCTTTATCTGTGGAGCAGCCCTTCTAGATGCCAGCAGAATCTCAAGGATGGAAACAGATGCCCCCACCCTACTACTGCAGCTGATGCCAAACCCAAAACCCACAAGGGAGAACATCCCCATTCTCCCTCACACGGGTTTGAGTGATGCAAGCCAAGCCTCCCCGTCACTCACAACTAATCACGAATGAAGTCAATTTCACTCATTAAAAGAGAGCTAACATTTCACAACCACATTGAAAACCCCAAGGTTCTAGAGATTTGACATTTTGGTGCCCTGGGGATGAAGACTGAGAGCTGGAAGGAGGGACCCTGGCTCTCGACCTCTCATCTTATCCTTCATCGCCTGTCCTGACTGCAACCACATGTACTGCAACCGACTGACTCCTCCCCTTCTCAGCCCCCAGAAACCCCCCACCCCAGGTTGGGTAAATTTCCCAATGCAAAACAAAATAAAGAAACAGATCCTGAACATTCACTCTCTTGTTAATTTTTTTGGGAGCTTTTCCATGCCTACCTATTGGTAGTTGGGGCGGGGGCTGCAAAGAGGTCAACAGCAGGATTGGTGTTCACACTCTTTCCTGATAAAGTGCTTGGAGAAGCAGAAGTCGAAGTCGAATTGGAAACCACAGAAATCTCTCTCAATCGCTGTTCCTACAAAAAAGAAAAAAGAGATGACAGTGGATGCTCAATTAGCCTTCTCGCACAAAAAAGGTTGAAGGCACCAGAAGTGAAACTTCATTATCTTGCGGAAATTAACCCACATCCCTGTCTTGTGACAGGACTCTCTAGCAAAATACAAAAACAGATTGCTCAACTTTTTCCACAGGAAGCAATGGAATTTTTTTACATGATTTATATGATTTTTAACAAGCTGATGATCTGGCTGGACCGCTTTTCAATGGAAAAAGGGCCAAGCCTTTATGTGACTCTTCCCGCATTGAGCTCAATGGAAACCAAATGTGTTTAGCCTTTGCCTGACTTGTGAATAGAAGCCGTGTTAAGGCATATTGTATGACAAACTGGGATTTGATAAACTGCGATGTGATAAATGACTGCAGCAACTCTCCCAAATGTTCATTAACTTGGGGAGGGGTGTTTCTGTTCAGACAAAATGGTAAAAGCAAGAAAGTGGTCATTTTCTCGGCGAAGCTTGATCTAAAGGGCTAAAATTAAGGACACTTTTCTTAGGGACGTAGGAGAGATTGCTACTGCAAGAGCTCAGAGATAAATGGCAGATAAATTTAATAAGTGGCAGCAGCAGCAACAAAAGCAGCCTTTACATATCAGAGGTCCTTAGCCCTGGTGGCACAGCGGTTAAAGTGCAATATTGGAGGCTAACTCTGCTCAAAACCTGGAGTTTGATCCAGATGGGGCTCACGGTTGACTCAACCTTCCATCCTCCTGAGGTCAGTAAAATGAGGATCCAGATTGTTGGGGGCAACGTGCTGACATTTTAAACCACCCAGAGAGTGCTGTAAAGCGCCATGGGGCAGTGCAATATAAGTCTAAATGCTATTGGCTGTCATGTCTACCAACTCAGGAGTGAATACCTTTAGAGCCTGCAGTCTAGCTTGCTCCTCCTCCAGAGCCTGCTGTTTCTCTCTTTCATCCATTTTACTGAAGGACATTCCTGTATTGGCCAGGGTGGAAACGGCACTGGAGAGAGTACTTGCTCTGAATTTTAGAGAAAACATACAGACACAAAAGATTTAGCGGCTCTGAGCCTGAACAATCAGCCTAGAGAAAAACCAGTCTATTTTCTTGGGGGCTACCCAGGGAGAGAAGGAACCTCTTGTTATACAATTAAACATTCTCAAATCAATGAGAGAGAAAAAGAGGTGGAAAGGTATTCAGACTGCAATCTTCACATTCTTAACCAAACAAATAAAGATGTTTAAGAGTATCTGCAAACATGGGCAGAGATCTCCAAGGTGGGATGACTACCTGAGTTACATGGATAAGTAATCTGAAATGGAAATATTAAGATACCGGTAATCTTACAATGATTCATCTGTTTGAAATTACAATGGCACTGAAAAAGTGACTTATGACCAATCCTCACACATTGCATCATACTCATAGTCACATGATCAAAATTTGGTTCCTTGACAACTGGATATATTTACAACAGTTGCAGCTTCCCAGAGTCACCATACTTTCCATTTGCAACTTTCCCAGCCAGCTTCTGAGAAGCGCAGTCAATGTAGGAAGTTGGTTTGGCTTAATGAGAATGTGATTCACTTAATAACAGCAATGGTTTGCTTAACAGCCATGGCAAAAAAGGTTGTCAAAGCGAGCCTGATTCAATTAATTACTGCCTTGCTTAGCAATAGGCCCAAGTGTAGTCATAAATTGAGGATTGTCTGTATACAAGTGGGAATTTTGTCAGGAATAAACAGCCTTGTGTTCCTTTCCCTCCTTTAATATGTCATGTGATAGCATCCCAATTTTTTTGACTGTGGTAAGAACCATTCAATAGGTTTCTATGCATTTTAACTGCCACCACCTGATATCATAACTTTTATTTTAACCAACTGTATTAGTGTAATCTATCCCCTGAAGAACAGGCAGGACTAGAATTAATCCGCCAGCTGTCCTCACAATGAAGGAAACTTGGAAGGTCCTAGTAGACATTGGCCAATGATCCAAAATGACAAGTAGCAAACAATTACAAGCCTCGGGCAATTACCTGCTGGCAGCTGAAACTTCCTTGGTCTTCTTTCCTTCCAAAGAAGCCAGATGTTGCTCCAGGGCTTCGAGCAGACTGCTGGGAGCCTAAAGTTAAAAATCTATATATTGGATTCTAAAATTCATAGTATTTAACTTGCATTTTCTGTTCTGAATACTACAGAGTTAAATTCTACTCTTAAGACATCATGGCAAAATGCTTATAAAGAATAGACTAATGGGACGAGCACCTCCATTTCTAGTATATACTCCAATTTAGCCACTTCTCTTGCTTACACCTGACAGAGAGAAAATAATCCAAACATGGTCTTCTATATAACAGGATGCAAATAATTACTAAGACCTCAGAAGCTTTAATAGACCATAGGTCAGGCTATAGGTCATCTAGCCAAAAATCATTTATTCTGAATGGCAGCAGCTTTCCAAGATGCCAGGGGATTTCCCGCACTACTTTTAGCCAGACCAGCAAGGTGTTAAAACTCAGAATCTTCTATAAGATTCTTGAAGACTATTCTTCTCAGTCTAGGGAAGCCTTGATCATTTATGTTGTCTTCTAGATCAATGTTTCTCAACCTTGGCAATATGAAAATGAGTGGACTTCACCTGCCGGAATTCCCTAGCCAATTTCTTAAAAGTTGCCACAGTTGAGAACCACTGGTCCATGCAAGAGTTTGGGCTTTTGTGGAGAAAACTGGAGTTTCCAAATACAATACAGGTAGTCCTTGACATATAACAGTTCCTTTAGTGATCTTCCAATGTTACAACGATGCTGAAAAAAGTGACTTATGACTGTTTTTCACAGTTACAAGCTTTGCAGCTTCCCCATCGTCATGTGATCGAAATTCAGATGCTTGGCAGCTGACTCATATTTATAACTGTTGCTGTGTCCCAAGATCATGTGGTCACCTTTTATGATCCTCTGACAAGCGAAGTCAGTGGGGAAAACAACTGGATTACTAAATTAACAAATGCAATGATTCACTTAACAACTGTGGCAAGAAAGGTTGTGGCAACAGAAGTTTTGGGCTCCACTGGGATCATAAGTCGAGCACGACCTGTATTGTTAATACAATATTTTCTGTTGCTGAACTTCCCTTGCTGTATAGTTATAGAAAGTTTTAACTGGTTTTAACTGGACCCCCTCGCCAAAGTATTACGGTTATGTCTCTCTTTTCAGGGTATGCTAGTCTGGATTGCGTGTTCACACTATTTGATCCTACAGTCTATTTCCTTTATTACAGGCACTTGCTATTTTTCAGCAATTTAGTGTCACTTCCTGCAAGTGTATTTTCTGTTTGAAAAATGGTCTGGTATGAAAGAAATCTCAGTTACACTTATCTATCAGGAAACAATTTAGTAAGAATTAAGGGATAAGAGAAAAAGATCATTTACAGATCATTTACAAATAGTAAACTCAGAGAAGGATGCTATGGGAGAATGAAATTCTTATTAATGGGCGTTCTGATCAATCAAACTAACTAAAATCTTCAGGCTGTGTGAGTTTCAGACACAAAGCATTGGATAAACCAGAACTGTCAAACTCGTGGCCCACAGGCCAGATGCATCACGTGCTGGCCACGCCCACAGTTGAGCAAAGTGGGGAAACGTCACGATACGTCACTTGACGCTGCCATGACGACACAAGTTTGACACCACTGGGATAAATAATCTATTCTATTTTGTATTTACCGACCTTATTTCTATATATTTTAAAGTAATCTAAAGGCAATTTATCCAATGAAGTGTGCCCAAAGCTAGAAATTTTATTTTCCTTACCCCCATAATTCAAAAAGGGCTCTATTAAGGCATTAACTACACCCGTTTCCCTTTTTTATCATATAAAACTACACACATCACAAACAGATGAGAACTGTAATTTTTAAAAAGTCGCAGCTTTCACTGAATATTGTGCTAGCAAACATTTTCAGAAAGGAGCCATCTAGAGCCACAACTTCCCTCTCCCAGTGTTTAACACAGATAAAAAGCACCAAATTGCTGACACAGCAATCTGCAGATAATGCAGGCCAAATGATTCTTGGATAAACTGGACAGCAAAGTAATAAAAAAGAGCTAAATAGCAACTGTGCAAATAGGAAGGAAGAGGGGTAAGATGGGGTGCGTGGCACAGGCAAAGAGTCAGAAAAAACTAAAGCACTGTGTCAGCACAGTGACAGATGGGCTCACATGATAGGAATCAACAGAAGCATTTGATGGAACTGTATAACTACTTACTGCATCTGAATGATCAAAGTTACAAGTTGGCTAGTAGGAATTTCTCACACTGTCCATATAGCAGGGGTCTCCAAACTTGGCAACTTTAAAACCTGTGGACTTCAACTCCCAGAGTTCCCTAGCTAGCATGGGAGTTGGAGTCCACAAGTCTTAAAGTTGGCAAGTATGAAGATCCCTGGTCACTCTGTTCTGCTAATTCTGTACAACCTTTCACACAAGCATCTCATGCAATCTTAGACACAATTAGACTGTCGGCTCATCTGTCTAGCGCTGTATTATCACAATGAAAGAAAATGCCCTCCAAAATGTAAAATCAAGATCCTGCCTTGTCCACTTAATACCATCAGGATATTTGGGGCACTGAATCTTAACCTTTTCTTCAAGTAAAGATAAAGTTGTTATTATGCTTTAGTCACTTTGATTTATAAGACTACCCAACCCAACACTGACTCTGGGCATTGTACAGATTTGTAAAAACAGATATGACATCTAAAACCAAAACCAAAACCAAAACTAAACGTAAGTATAATGGAGAGAACACAGACACGCCCAAATGAAACGAACATGATGGGTACATCTTACCTATGCTAAAATTGGAGGGAGGGTGTGTATATTTTTCAGGTATTGTTTAAAGCAGGGTTTCCTAACCATGGCAACTTGAAAATGTGTGCATCAGCTCCCAGAATTCCCTAGTCAGCTATACTGGGAGTTGAAGTTCATACACATCTTCCATTTCCAATGCTGGGGAAACTCTTGTTAAAGGCTTGCAGGGTGAGGACAGTGCCACTGTCTGGTGGGTGTTATTCCAGAGGTTGACACTGTGGCAGAGAAGTTGGGGCTTCAATACATCAGATAAGGTTACTTAACAGATGAGACATGAAATAAACTCACCTTCTCAGACCCTATGCAGTACACAGAACTGATGGGAGAGGTTGCCTGAGATAGACAGATCCCCTAAGCCACAAAATAGGTGATCATCAGCACTTTGAACTACACTCAGAAGCTGGATGATAACTAGTGCAGCTTTCATAGCAGAGGTATTGCACAGGCATACCAAGGTGCTTCCAGAATGGCTGGTGCTGCTCCATTCTGGACCATCTGTAGTTTCTGAGTAGTCTACTAGGGTAGCCACATGAGGTCACAGCGGAAGACAAGCAACTGCAACAAGGGACATGTCCAAGAAAGGGCGCGATTGCTACACCAGATGAATCGGTGCAATAGCTCTTCTGGCTACAGCTACCATGTGCTCATTGAGCAGGAATTTTGAGTCCACGAGGACTCCCAAATTGTGCACCTGTCTTGGATGGAAAGTGACACCCTATTCATAACCAAAGATGGAGAATCTCTGACATCTGAGCAACCACTCTCCCACAGCCACTATGTCTTGTCAGGGAGTTCATTTTAAGCCTGTTCTCTCTCAGCCAAACTAAAACAGGTCCCAGTACTGGAACCTTCAGAGTAGAATCATCCCTAAGGTGCTTTTCAAAAGGCAATGGGACTGTTTCGCCTCTCATCCAAGAAGTTTCTTCAGCCCAATGTATTAATACCAATAGCATCACAGAAGGAACACTAAGAAATCTTAGATCTATCATATACCTGGAAGACACAGCAACATACAGACTACATTATACAGTCCATTCAGCATCAGTTATCAAGGATAGAAATGTTTCCCATGAGCACTTCTTAAAAGAGATAACTGAAGCTATGAACCTCTGCACCTCCATTGTATGGTCTAACCACTGAACTACCACATCTCCCTCATTGTTAAGCAGGGGACCATTAAGGCACTGTCCTCAAGCTGATGAAATTGGAGAACAAGGTTAATAAAGAAGATGGTTAATCCACAGTATGGATTTCAGCAAAACAGTCTGGTTGTAATGTACAGTATATGGCAATATGTATGTATATATATCCCTCAATCTTTAGTAAAAAGATCTACAGAGAGCTCATGAAAATACTTAAAAAACTTGTTACTGATCAAACACACACAGGTTACAGGTAAAAAAATGACACTTATTTCCATATATAATATATATGGAAGAAAATGAATTCTCAGAATGTACAGAATGGAACACTCACTGTTAAAGCACAAATGCACAAAGGACTGGGATTAAATTAATATGAAATGTACACTGACCTGAGTAAGATCTGGAATGTCACCCTGATCAATTCCAACTTGCTGGGTTCACAAAAAAGGGAAAAAATGTACATTACTACATGCAGTGGCAATGAAAAGAAAGAACTGTGGACCTGAATGTCTACATAAAGCTAAGGGACCAGGGAGGACACGGACTGCTTTCTGAACTGGTACAATTCTAAATGCCACTAAATTCCACCATAAATTTTAATATTAAGTGTTGATCCATTTCAAATACAGGAAACAGCAAAAATAGTTTGTGAGAATTTTTGACACCACTTGGAAAAACAACTTCAGTAAATACCTCAGCACAGACATCTCTTAATTACAATTAATAGAAATCAGACGATCAAAATACCCTTTTAAAATGGAAATGGTTTCACTGACATTTACATTCAACAACCACATAAAACCTACGTTTGCAGGAAATTATGAGGCAAGAACTACCATCATGCACTTATTACTGTACCAGTACAGAAAAGCTAAATGAAATACTGCTGATGTGACTGGATTTATTTACCTCTGCCACTTTGAGGAATTCTGATAGTTTGGTCATTCTGGCTAAAAACTTTTTGTAAATATCCAGACCTTCTTTGCACTGGTTCTTCTTCATATCAAAATATTTTTCTGAAGCATAAAATTCAAAGAAAAGTTATTGTAAATAAAAAGGCTCCAAACATATGTATTTTATTAGGGTTTTAATAATCTGAGAAAATAAAATACATCCTAACCAAGAGCTTGATTAACATATAAGAATCTGGGGTTTTTTTTTACTATGAGGTTATAAGCTCTCGCATTTTATTATTAAGGACAAATAAAAACTGCCTCTAAATGAAAAACTTTAGCAAAGGCTTTTATCTATCAGACAACAAATTAATAATTGCAATATTAGAAAAAGCTTTTGCATTGCAACTCCAGGAGATTACAGTCAGGCTACTACAACAGTAATTATGCAAGCTGAGAAACTTTGAGATACACATTCAAATTCTTAAAAACATTTTTAACCTGTGGAATTCAATGGTTATTTTAAAAAACAGCAGATGGATCCTAAATTCAATTGTGGGTGAGAATTTAGATTAATAGAATTCTCATCCATAATTGAATACTATTGTTCTACTTTCCATTTTTTAACTTTATTGTAAAATTTTAAACAAGAAAAAGAAATGTCAATCAATTTATTCCCCAGGAGCCTTTAATGATGTTTAATGAGAATTTTTACTAATTCTTCAGCATCTTCTGAGCCACACAAGCCCTTTTTCATAGTTATGGATTAATGCAAATTTCCACAATTTTATCATTACTATGAAGATTAGGATGGTCCCAAGAAATTGTATCTATATTCAGAATACTTTAAGAATTTGGTCTGCATGGATATACCAAGAATCAAGTTTCTATCTCCTCCAAACCATGTGTGGTATGCATAATTTCAGTCTTAATTTCATTAAACGTAATTAGTTGGTTCACACGTGGTTTGCTTTACCATGTTGCTTACACTTTTGTCAATTTATCCCCTCTCCCTCTCCCACTTCCAAAATTCAGATTAATTTAATACCAGGAAATAACAAGCAGTACAAATTGCAACTCTAGAAACTTCTGTAGCTGTTTATTTTGGTAAGTGTACGTTCCTTGAGAACTAGTTAAGCAGTTGAAGTGTTATGGAACATTTTAACATCCCAGCTGGTCAAAACTGTATAATTAGTAGTGGGTTTTTTTAAAAAAAATAAGCAATTTCTAACATATTACAAATATAAGGCAGAGGAAGCTGTATGCGGATGTTGGAAAAGAATGCAGCAGAGAAGCTCATCAGCAAAGGTATTATATGTTGGCCAAGACACATATGTGTGAGAGAGAAACTAATTGAGAAATAAGACAAACTAAACCAACAAAATAGAATATAAAGGAGTGATGGAAAATATTTAGAAAACCACATACGTATATTTACATGTCTCCATTTTAAAATTATTTTTATTTCACATACCTAATAGGTTAATGATCCCCTCATTATAGGCTGCAAAAAGCCTAATGGAATCTTTAAAGAGGAGCATGAAGGCAGCATTGATTACTCCATTGGTTAGTTCATTTGGGTTTGCCTGCACAGAAAACAGGGAAAATGAAGAGTTAAAATGTGGAATAAAAAATATTCCCTCATTCCCTTGAATAAGATTTATAGCAGTAAAGAGCAATTCCTAGACTTACATCAAAATCAAGAAGTGCATCCAGCTGATTCTGAATAATTGGCAGGGTTTTCAAAAGTTTTTCAGTATTCATTGTCCTCATCACACCATCAATCCTTCAAAGACATAATGGGAAATATATTTGAGAGGTTTATCAGAATAATGCGTGCAGCACCACAAAATTGCACCCTATGCAATCTACTAAAACTGCTCCTTTCAGCATATGTACATGAGTATGACTTCCGAAATAAGTAGAAAAATAGGCAAAGAAAGTGATTTTTTCATTTTTCAAATCACATTATCGAATCTCTTTAAGGAATATTTCCTATTAATGTTATACCTGTGTTCAAAATTCAGAAAAGGTTAACTGAAAAAAGTAAATACTTTAAATTGATGTAGGAATTGGAATATTTTTTTATATTCTAGGTAAAGTATTTCCTTTAAGCTGGTTCCACTAAACATCTGACTGCCAAATACAACAGCAGGACAATCAAAGTGACCCTTACCCTCTTTTCATTTTGGTGAAATCAACGGCTACAAGTCTATAAGAAAGTGCTTTTTCATTCAAGTATCTGCTATATCGTCTGATGAAGGTAGACATATCATAGCCTGAAAATAAAGAAATTTTTAGTTAGACATTTTTCTTTTATTTTTACATTCTTATTAGTTTTTTCTGTATTAAAAATAATTCAGAGTGGGTTTTTTTTTACTATAATAGCCAGATATAATACAAACTAAAAGAAAGAAGAGAAATTGGGAGTAAAAAAGGAAAATAGATAAGTCAGAATAAAGAAAAAGAAACATATAAAAAAGTTGCTTTACAACTTCATCACGAGTATTTAAAAAAATAAATAACTCTTCATCCTTTCTAAAGTTACATTTATTTCTTCATCCTATATCTTAACTGTAAACAAATATATAAAGCATAATCTTTTCAATCCTGGTGGAAGCATAAAATTCATAAAAGATGGCCACAAGTTACAAAGTATTGTATTTTAACCTTAATCAAATCAATGAACTTTATATTAATTTTTTCACTTCTAATCTTTAGTTCATTCAAATATTGTCATTACTCTTCATTTCTTCTTCGTCACACTACATGGGGTACTTCAAATCTTTAAGAAACCTCTTCTGTAAATCCAACAGGAGAATTCTATTCAGGTCACTCTCTTGTCATTTGTCCTTCCCTTTTAAATTTAAAGCCTGAGCCAATTTCTTTTGTAGATCCAGTGAAACATTCTTTCCTAAATTGTTCTCTTCACCTGTCAGTCTAAATTAATTTTTGAAACCATTTCTGTCTTACCAAATAAAATTTATTCTATATCTGACATTGCTTCAGTAACATCTTTTACTATGCTATAGTCTACCCATAGAAGCAAACATAATTCAATGTTGATATTATGGCTACTATTTTCCGATTCCATTCTTCAAGAGTCTCCTTCAATATTTCAATTTTATTATGTTTTCCACCATCTTGAAAACCTACATATCTTTCCTATAGCCCAAATCTTTAATTCATTCTAGCGTCCAGTTTTTGAAATCATGAAATATATTATAGGATTTGTTTTCCAGGTTTGTGTTCTTTATTATTAATTCCGAAATCTTCTTATAAAAACTTCCAATATTCCAAATTTATCTGTTCTCTTAGTCTGTTGATAACTTTTTAAGATTGAAATCTTATTTAGCTTTTTGCTATTTCTTTCAGATTCTTTAAGTTCTTAAGATTATGATTAAAATGTTATTTTATTCAAAATTAAAGGTATTGTCATTTAGAATGATATTGTCATTTTAAAAATCTTTAATAGTTCAGAAGTAGTTAATAAGCAATTTCTGAAATTGATTAGAAAGTGAGATTTGATAACTAAGGATCCTTTAAAATCCCCACTGCAGTTGCAAGCAAGATGGCCAACACCATTGTCTCCTGATGCTCAAACTCACAAGAAGCTACTGTCCTACAGTTTCCTGACATGAAGTAGCCACCCAGAGGACATGTGGGAGATATTCTGTCCTCTCTTTATCTTTAAAGGTTCCAAGGAACATATGTATTCATCTGTTTCTTGGTCTCTGGCATGTACATTCACTTCCCTTTCACAGTCTTTTCAAATCCCTTCAAAAGCCTTCTGATAACAATTCTTCTGGATGTATTGGGATCCAAATTAATTCCAGTTCCTTGGAATATCCATCTTCCAATTGCTTCAACTTCCAAAGCTCTTGGTACTAGCTAATTGATGTAGTCCCTATGAATGGCAGTATTACCTCGTTAAATAAAAGCCAACAACACTTTAAGGAGTTGTTTTAGAACAATTTATGTCCTCATTATTCAGCTTGTAAATCATCAATAAGCTGGTATTTTAGTAATTGACACTCTGACAAGTTGCTTACAATTTCAAAACAAATTCTTTATTTATAGAGATCAGCAATATACAAGCAAATAAAATCCATCAGTTAAAAAGTAAAGGACATGTTCATGTTAATTTTTGCCTCAATTGAACTGCTACTACAATAAATTTTGCCTAGTGCGTAGGTGGTTTCACAGATTGAGACTGTAAAATAAAAAGTGAGCATATAAATGGTCTGTTCCCCAGGTGCACATAAGTAGTAAAAGAGGGATTATCATGTCCTTTTGAAGATCCTTATAAAAGCTACTGTAACAACATTGTTGAATTGTCCCAATTTCCCAAGGTAAGGAGAATGTTGGCATAAGTGCCAGGTAATAGCAATGATGGAAGGATGCTGTGCCTGGCCCTAAAAAATTCCTTTCCTCAAGTTAGAACATTTGACTGCTGCAAATTCGATGCTCACCTTTAAAGCAATCATCTGAGGAATCACTGTTTTCATTATCAATAACAAAAATCTCACCAAGATAAAGAAACATAACATACTAATCAAATATGATTAAATTTAAATACAGAATATGAATACAAACTTATTTTTTTAAAGAAAAAGAATCCTTACCCTGCATGGCACTTTTATCCAGATAATTGTTGAGATTAAATAATGTATTTCGAGATGCCAAGTATTGAATAAAGCGCTGTGAACAAATGAACCAGAATTCAGATTATCTTTATTATCCTTCTGCAAATTATCTTTCTATAGAAATATTTTATATTGCTAATTTCTAAGCAAGTCTGTAGGTGATACACTTACGATCACTATTGAGCCCAAAATTTATGTTATCAATTGAGAATTTGTTAAGTGAATTTTGCCCCATTTTACATTTCTTGCCACAGTTGTTCAGTGAATCACTGCAATTGATATATAAGTAACTTGGTTAAGTGAATCTGGCTTCCCCATTGACTTTGCTTGTCAGAAGGTTGCAAAAAAGTGATCAGATAATCCTGGGACACTGCTACAGTCGTAAGTATGAAAGAGTTGCCAAGTATCTGAATTTTGATCACATGATCATGGGGATGCTGCAAAGATTGTAACTGTCATAAGTCACTTTTTTCAGTGCTGTTGTAACTTTGAACAATCACTGTGAACTGCTGTAAATTGAGAACTACATGTAGTTCCTCAATCATCTAAACAAGTTATTGCTTTTACTAAGGCAAACCAATTATATCTATTAATAGTTACAATTTTGCAATCACTAACCAGAGAGGCAAAAGTGGAGCAGAATGATGTAAGATAAACTGATATCCAATGCATTTCATAGCAACTCTAGTTTACAAATAGTTCCATGGAAAAGGGAAAAGGGAAGCAAAATTCAACTGCACATAGCTCATTCTGTACACATCTCACATATCATGCTTATAAAGAAGACATACATACTATTCTGAAATTATTCTCGACAACTAAGCAAGATTTACATCTACAAGTAATAGACAAACAGAGCTAGTAGAAGGCAAAGACTTTCTACTCTTAATGCTTTAATTGCTGCAAGGTAACACAACTAACAAGTTATTATCTCATTGTCCTTTGGGATTCTTCCAATTGTAAGATATGGGATTTTTCTTTTAGCTTTAGTTTCCATTCTATTACCCTGTTTCCCTGAAAATAAGACCTCCCCGAATAATAAGCCCAACGGGGCTTTTGAACACATGCGCTAAAATAAGTCCTCCCTGAAAATATTGCAACACAGCAGCAGCCATGAAGTGACCACGCTCGCCGTGTCCTGCACCTCAAAAATAATAAGACCTCCCCGAAAATAAGACCAAGCGTTTATCTCAGGGGTCAAAAGAAAATAAGACCCTGTCTTATTTTCAGGGAAACATGATCGCTTCCTTCATCTGAAAGCTATAAACCCCTTCAGGAAAATATGCCATATTTATCTGAGGCAGGATTGTCTTGATCCTGTAAAAACTAGTAAAACAAATACCACTCTGTTTTTCAAATCAAGGGAAGACATTTTTGCATGGTAAGAGTTGAACTGCTAGATATTATGACAAACATGCCTTCTAAAAATAGCATAAACACACCCTTTGGGGCTAAAGGACTTGTAACCAAACAACAATGGAGAGTGCATTGTTCAGTTTCACCACAAAGTGAGCTTGGGGTGTATATTCCAACTCATTCTCGTTCAGACTTCCCAAGAAGTCTGAAACAGTCAAATGCTAACAGGCACAATGGTGTTAAATCAATAGAACTCTTGAACTTTTAAGGGCAAAACTAAAACCTGCCAGGCCAGAATCTCATGAGAACATAGGATTTAGAAACTATACCAGCACTTGTGTAAGTATTTCATTTAACACATTAGTCACTCAATAATTGGGGGGGGAGGGGGAGAAGAAACTAATAATGTAACTTTATATGCCAGTATTTGCTTTCTAATAAGAAGCTAGTTATGCAATTCCTCCTGAGGTTCTTGATGTCCCTACTACACTTGTCTTTTGGAAATTCACCAGGCATTTATTCTGAAAACCCCTCCTATTTTGAAATAAAACTGTATTGCAAAATGCTGCTTTCTTACCTCATTTCCATACATCATGAGGTGGTGCGTTGTAATTAGAGCTTTGAACACTACTACCCAGCTACTGTTTGCCGTCCTCTCAAAAAGCGTATCTGCTAATTGTGGAATATTCACATTCATCTCATTTGTGCACTGAATTAAATCTGAAATTCAAAAACAAGATGTTTTAATGAATATTTTTATACATTTATAAACTTTGCCGCCAGTTTCACAAGGTGATTTTTTTTATACCAACAAACACTCAAAAAGGGGATAGCAATAGCAATAGCAGTTAGACTTATATACCGCTTCATAGGGCTTTTAGCCCTCTCTTTACAGAGTCAGCATATTGCCCCCAACAACAATCCAGTCAGTCAGCTGAAGTAGCCTGCAGTGCTGCATTTAACCACTGCGCCACCTCGGCTCTATGTTCAAGAGTATTCTGGAATCCTAAACTTTACTCTCATAGTCAACCGACTAGTAGTCCTCATTTAGCAGTTACAACAGTGATGAAAAACATAACTTTAAGATTATTCCTCGTAGTTATGACCTTTCCAGGTCTGTAAAGCAAAGGAAAGCTGAAGCAACATCAGAGGTAGTTGTAGTTTCACTTAGTGACTGCTTTGCTTAACGATCAAATTGCCTACACCGATTGTGATGGCTAAACAAGGACTACTTGTGTTCTTCACTTTTCACAAATTAACTGGGGAAAGTTTCTTGTATATGAAATTACATTAAACACTTTCTAAATGTTTCATTATGACTCTACATCTTTAGAATCAAGCAACTTTCTTTTGCAGTATCATTTTGGTTCTCTGGTAAAAATGAAGCTTGCTGAATCAAGCAGACACATCTATCCATCCTTTACAAACAGGAGCTGATGTATACATCTAAAATAAAAGTTTTACCAAATCAGAAGTGGCAAATTGTGTTTAGAGCATGACAGGATTAGAAATAGAGAATATCCTTGCTGACACATAGAGGAAAGCTTAAAATAATGTATGTAGCCAAAACTGGAGGGCGGGACAGAGCCTGGAGTCCCTTCCAGTACTTCAAGACTCTTGGATTCTTATTCACCAACATTTTTGAACGTGGCAAAAAATAGATTAATATGTTATGGGAAGCAATTGGGCAGGTTTGAAAAATATGTGCAGAGAAATAGCACACTGATTATACAAGCAGTGAGAAAATACAAATAGTGCTGGATTGCCTACAATCATTTCACATATAAATAGCAGCCTAATCAGATTCCTTAAATTCAAACTAATTATAGCATTATATTTCTAATGTGCTTAAAAAACCAATTCCTTAATAAATATTTATTAGTTTATATAGAGATCTTACCTTGGAATAATATAAAATTGGCCTAGAAGACTATTTTATAGCAAAAATAAGGAGAACTATATTACTTCTTAAATGAAAGACATCTTCTCCAGGATAGTAACAATCACTACAATAAACAGCTGTCTGTATACAGTATTGCGTATCAACACCAACTCTCCTTTAGCTACGTCTGGTACACTCTGGGCCCATAACCAGTGTTAGGTAAGCTCCCCATTGGGAGAGCAAGTACGTTCAGCGAAGCGTTGTGAGAGTTGTGTTGGAGAATACACAAACCAGCATACAGAGACACTGCAGTTTAAATAGGCTTTTACTTTCATGGAAATAGAGGTATCAGAGTCCATCAAACAGTCCAAGTCATGCACTGATAAGACATTTAGTCATCAACGTCTTTCAGTTAAGGGATAATCCAAATAACATAATCCAGTATCATATAATCAGTTCAGTACT